GCTTTGGAAAGGCAGCCTGGGGTGGGGGGCGGGGGAGGCCCAACGGCCTCACTTAGGACATCGGGTGAAATATGGCTCGGGCCAGGGCTGAGCTTCGGGGGAGAAACAGGGCTTGGGGTCAGTGGGAAGCAGGGAGCCGCCGCAGGCTCGAATGGGGTGCCCGGCGACGTCAGCAAGGCTCGAGGGGAGCAGCTGGGGCCAGAGCGAGGAGCTGCCAGAGGGGGCAGGGCAGTGGGGGTCTGAAGCCAGGAGGCAGCGCCCCAGAGCAGAGGCCAGGGAGCCCGCTTGTGGCCCCCGGACCAGTCCAGGGCCCCCGTGGGAGGGGTTGGAGAGGAGTTCAGGCCAAGGGGCGAGTGGCAGCTCGGAAACCACGGGTTTGGGGCTCGGCCGCCTGGGAATGAAGCTGCTGCGCCTGCTCCTCACCTGCCAGGCCACCCCCACTCCTCAAAGGGCGGCTTGCAGGAGTTAATGAAACTGACGAAACTGTCGCAAGGCCTAGCAGGGCCCGGGGCTCTGAGGTTCCCAGCCACGGCCGTTACTGCCCCACGGGGCCCGGAAACGGCAAGGAAGACGCTAGTTCCATCTTTACCTAAAAGCTCCGGGCCACCTGCCATCCTCTTTGGCTCCTCCCCACACCTTCCTTCGGGCAGTTCGGCAGCCCTTCTCCCCCCCCACCCCGCCCCCGGCCAAAAGAGCATGTGACACGTGCTGAGCGGAACAATGGCCCTGGCTCCGAAACCCAGGGCCACCAGGGCCCAGCCAGGGAGGGCAGGACGGCTCTGCATTTTCTTTGGGCCACATCCTAAGCAGCTCTCAGTGTAGTTGGTCAAGTTCTGTCCAGAGTCTGGTCCAGCTAGGAAGCTTTGCCTTCTGGCTCCAGAACGTCCGGGGTCAACGGTGGGGGGATTTACCTTTGGCTGTGCTTTCTGAACAGTGGGTGAGGTTCTCATGAGCCCCGGAGTTCAAGCCCAGCCTGGGCAATACAGCGAGGCCTTGTCTCTACCAAAGAAAATTAAAGAGTAGCTGGGCGTGGTGGTGCACACCTGTAGTTTCCAGCTACTCAGAAAGCTGAGGGGGGCGCTCTTCAGTCCAGGAATTGGGAGGCTGTGATGAGCAGTGACCATGCCACTCACTGAATTCCAGCCTGGACAACACCGTGAAACCCCAACTCAAAAAAACTCCTGGCTCGGTTGCCCACCTTGGAGTGAAGCGTCAAGGAAGCATCTCTTGCTGGGGAGACCGGACCCTGTGAGGATGTGCCCCGGGCAGGCGGGCAGCCCCTGGACCAGGCGGGGCTCGTTGCTGGGTTTACTGTGCCACAGGACCCAGAAGCAGTGGCTGAGAGGCGTGAGGAACAAACCAGAACCACAGGCATTCAAAAGCTTAACATTATGCATTTATTATATCTTATAGAGCCATGTTACACATGCTTGGTGCTTCAAACTGAGTTAGCAATGTTTTCTGGATGCAAAGCCATCTGATGCTTGATGCGGGTGCCTTAAATACTATATTTCTGCATCTATGACCTATGAGCTAAGGAAAAACCAAGGACAATTCCAGAAATGGTAAAGAACACTTTGAGAAAAAGATGCACATGAGACACAATGCCAAGTCCTTGAGCCAGGGCCTGCAGAAGTTACCAGAAAGTGAATACAAACAGAACTTTCGCATCATCTGTTGATAATGGAGCCTCGTAACAGGTGTGGACGTTGTAGAAAGAAGGTTATTCCGTGTGGGACCGATGCCCTTCCGCCTGCATGCTGTATGCAGGAGCAGCTAACAGAAGAGAGCATGGCACTGCCAACCCCCCATGACATCCCTGTGCTGTTTCTCATGGCGTCTGGCATCTCATGAAAAGCAGTCACTTGCTAATTTGTGGAAAACCAATCAGTGCTTCTGATGACTGTGACACCACCACACTCTCCTCTGCGACGTGCAGAATGCCGGCTGGGGGTGCAAGGTGCTCCCCACTTGCTACCCCCTACCATCCTGCACCCCGTTTGCGGGAGGACCGCTTTGCCTGTGGACCTAATGCCAACACTCTTTTCCAGATTTTTAAAGGGACTGGGTAATGTGTCAGCAGTACCCGCCCATTCTTCCCATCAAACCTCCATCGTCTCTGGCACCAAACTGACCCCTTGGGCTTGGGCCGGATGCCAAGAAGCCTCTCAGTCCTGCACCTGCCCTTCTGCCCGATGCTGTTCGGCTGAAGGGCCCGCACGTAAACTGCCTTTGGACAATCAGGCCACAGTCGGAGCAAGTACGAGATAGACAGGAGGTCAGCTGGCAGGCGGGAGACCTTGCCCGTCACTGGGCAAATGCCACCGTGCACCTGCGTGTCTGTGAAGGCCGGGGGGACTTTCTGTCCTCCAAAGCTGGACAGCAGGCCATGGAGTGCACGGTCACGGTCACAGGACGTAAAGCCCAGAGTCACAGCCTCTCCCCACCTCATGGGCTAAAAGTTCGGGCAGAACGCACTGGCACTAACGCCCACAGGGAGCCGCGAAGTCAGACAGGCACCCCCCAGCCGGGGTCCAGGGTGACCTTGCACTGGTGACAAACTGTACAGCAGAGCAGCTGGGGAGGCACCGGGCACAGCCGTGTCAAGTGGATTTCTAGCCGCAGCGGGCACTGGGCACTGTTTCCACCTCAGCGACCCTTAATCTCACGGGTGGTCAGAAGGAAGGAACTCCAGGAGTTAAAGATGAGCCACGTGGACTTCCTAAGCCACATGGAGTCCACATCACTCGCTCTACATAGAGTGGGGGTGGGGAGGCAGGTAGATTTATCGGGTGTCCAACTCAAAACTGAGCTTAGGGGCCAGGCTTTCCTGGGTAGCTGACACAGCGCTAGGTGTGCTGTGATGGACAGGCTTGGCCGGGCAGCAGGGACCTCACGGGGCACTCTCCAAGGGCCACGCAGACATGCCTCTGCCGACTGGAAGTGACTCTCATCATTTGTGAAGAAATGAACTTGAACTCTGCTTGGACACACGGGCAGGCACTGCATGCACTATTGCACTGGGGGCTTATTTAGCAAAATAAGCGACACTTGGAACATGTACATGAAAAGCAAACAGCAAAAAAAAAAATCTTGATTTTCCTCAAATCCTCAGGCCTTGAGTCTAGGCAAAGCACACAAACACCATATGAAACCAACAGCATATGAGAAACCAACAGCATGAGTTCAAGGTCACCTTGGAAAATAAATGTCACTCTGGGGTGACAGTTCTTTATACAAATATTATGCTCCCCCGTCTCAACCCCACTACCAAAAAGGGGGAAAATAATAAATTCAAAAATAGAAAACAACATCTTGATAAGTGTAAACTTATCTTCTGGAGTTTTTATATTACATATGCTAGAAACATGCATTTATTTCTGCTCAGTTGTACGAAAATAAGTCTATCAGTATTACTTATAAATCAGATTAATCCTCAAGACAATGGACTCACTGTTAGAACACCATTTCAAATCTTAGTAAATTACATCTTTAGCAAAATTATAAATTCTAACCACAAGCAAAATGGGGTTAAGTAAACCCAGTGAGAAGTACCTCTACCTTATACCGTTGCTCATGTAACAGTTTCCTATGCTACTGTTGTAACTTCAGAATGCTATGTTGACAAAGAACTTGGACATCCCAGATCAAACTCCTTACAGAAGTTAACTCTGCAGACTGAGAAGACACATGAACAGAGAGGAAGGGGGCGGGCTGACTCTTCCACTCGGAGACAGGAAGGGACAGGAGAGATGACCGCGGGCATCTCCCAAGGGGTCAAGGCACAGAGGAAGAGGGACCGCATTCCACGGGAGCCTGGCTCCTGCAGGTCACGGCATGGCTCTCAGGGCTGCTGGTGGGACTGCCCACGGCACAGGTGTGCTCTGCTGCGGGGCCTTGGGCAGGGGTCCCGAGGACAGTGCGAGGGCCAGGGCAGCCTCGTGCTGGGCGAGGACGCCTACAACAGCCAACGGGAGTGGCATGTGAGCACAGCCACCCGAGCTTGCTCGACCTGACGGTGGGCGTGGGAGGCTTGGGCGCTCACAGGCTGAGCATTCACGGAAGCCTCTGCTCAGGCCTAGCCGAAGAACCGACGTTCTCACCAGGGCCTGGCGCTGAAGACCACCACCACAGGCTTAGCCCTCTCCTGACTGCCAGATACAGCCGACCCTGGCTTCTCCAAAGAACTGCTGGGGGTCTTCTGATCAACTACCCAAGGGGTAAGATTCTGGATGAATAAAAAACAGGGTTTCAAGTGGAGTTTTTCATTCATGATTCACAAAAGGCACTTCAAGATTCCAGAGCCACGGGGCCACTGTCATTGGGTCACCAATCCTCCTGCACAGGACTGTGGAGAAGCTGCGAGAGATCGGGCTCGTGTGGAGCGGATGGGTCCTGGCCATCGTCAGAGACATCTCTGCTCAAGTCAGCTAGTTTGTCACGGATCTTGCAGTCAAGCATACACAGCACAGGATGCACAGTATGTCTGCATCTTGAGCAGTGGGATTTCACTGTATCACGGCAGTTTATGAAATATTCCGAACGAGTCTGATGTTTGACCCTAAGTCAAATCCAAAGTTAGTATCAGACACCGAGGAGATCACAACGTGAGAGGTGAGGTACCCATCAGCTAATCACATCGCTGAACTGCACCTGGACCGTGCTGAACTGAAGCTACTGGTGCTCAGCCGCCGTCTGCCAGCACTTCACGAGGACCCCGCCAGGGGGAGGAACAAAGGCTCTCAAACTGAACAACTGACAGCCCCAAGCGCTTCCTGCTGGCCAAGCCAAGGAGTGGCTGGAGCCACCTCTGGAGGCAGCCTGAGTGAGGAAGGGTCCGATCTTCCCTCGCGCACCCACTGCTGGCGAGCGCCTTACCTGGAGGAGCCACGCGGGCTGCGGCACAGATGCTCACGCACACATTTGCGGGGGGGCTGAAACCACATCCTACCACCACGGCCTGGCCTCGGGGACTCTGAGGTAGTTCCTGAACTCGGGGTGCCTGCTACCTGCCCTCCTTCAGATCCAGAACATGTAGAAGTATTAACATATCCATGCATCGCTTTCATCACAAATCACGGTATTGAGTGCAAAATAAAGGAAAACTCGAGTTGCTTTATTTAGCTTCCAATTTCTGGGAGGCTCAAGAATTATAAGTATTCTGGACAACAAAAGAAAATAAGACTGTGCTTACAGATCTTGTTCTGCCATGTTCTTTCTTAGGACTGCTATTTTATTGTCGCCCTTTCTGTTACACGATGTACACGTTAGGTGTTAAAAGGTACAATACATTCTACAACTGAGCACCACTTTCTGTAACTGAACAGGCAAAGAAATTACACTGAACATCAGCATCTGGCAGTATTTTTTGGGAAAAAAAAAGTGACTAAAATGGGTTTAAATTGATTAACACTATTAAATCACATCTAATATTTGATACTACATGATTCAATACAGCTATACGATACAATTATACAAAATGTGTTAACATCAAAGAATACAACCAAAATTAAGATAGCAAACAAAACCTATATAACTTTTTTTTTTACAGGAAAATACTTTTGAAGTATGCATGTAACTGCCCATTCTTTTAAAGAAAATCTACTGCAAGCAAAGTTATCAACCTCCAGAAAAATCACACATAGCATTACTAAGCATATCCCCAAAAAGTGTACAATATGCACACTTGGAAAATACAAAATTAAAAAAATTGTAAGCAACAGGTGAGCTTCATATTTATAAGAATGTGAAAAGAAGTCCCATTTTTAGCACTGTTGTATAAAGAATTGTCTTTTGATGTGAAGTTCATGAATTGTCCTCCTGTTGGGACCACACTTTACAAAAACACCGTGTTTTTGAAACGAGATTACAGAGCAAGATAGAGCATCTTAGCAATGTCATCTTATTAAAGTTTTTTTTAAATTTTTACTACTTTATCAAAACAAGTCCCTTAGGTGTGTAGGATTCATTTTTAAAATTCTTCCTAGAAATAATATACAAAGGAGAGGCATATTTATTCCCAATCACTCCTGGAAGATGCTTCCCGTGGTCGAGAAGGGTCTTCTCTCTCTTCTTTTCACTGGTTATTTTTGGCCTTTGCATGTGTTAAGATGTGAGATTTCAGGTTAGTCGACTGAGCAAACTTCTTGTTACAACCATCGAAGGGGCACACATAGGGCCTGTCTCCGGTGTGGATTCGCACGTGTGTGCGCAAGTTGAAGTCCAGTGAAAAGCGTTTTCCGCAGCCTTCGAACGTGCACTGTCGAGGAAAGACCAGAGATCAACCTACTCAGCCATGCTGACTAGATGCTGGGGGTCAGTAGCTCACTGCTTTGGTGGAGCAAGGTATGTGATTTTACCACTTTCCTCCCTGTCCTGGGTGTACTCTCCAAGTGTATTATGGAATTGGCGGCAGGCAACTCTAACTGCATGGCGGGCAACCCCTCATGAACTGTGTATGCACAGTATCAGAGAAACACTTGGCAGATTGGCGAGAACCTCCCTAAGTATCATCTGAGGGCCCTAGGACTTCCGTAGGTATTTCAAATAGTAAAATACAGATGACTAAGGTTTCTGGTGCCAACTATCAAAAAAGAACCACGCTAGATCTGCTAACTGAATTCGTTGACTCATTTATTTACTTATTTTTGAGTCTGGGTCTCACTCTGCTGCCCAGGCTGGAAGGCAGTGGCACAATCACAGCTCACTGCAGCTTAGACCTCCTGGGCTCAGATAAGCCTGCCTCAGCCTGTTGAGTAGCTGGGACTACAGGTGTACGTCACCACGCCAGGCTAATCTTATTTTTTTGTCAAGATGAGGTCTTGCTATGTTGCCCAGGCTGGTCTCAAACTCATGTGCTTCAGCGATCCTCTAGCCTCAGCCTCCCAAAGAGCTGGGGTAACAGGCGTGAGCCACCGTGCCTCGCCCATTCAATTACTTATGGGTGTCTAAAAACAAGACAAAGTATTGCCTATCTTAACTCTCATACGATGAAATTTTAGATACTTCCTTTCAATTAGTAATTCAACATACTATTAACGACCAAGAATAAAGTACTTCAACCTCAGTGACTGCACTAGAAATTTAGTTCTCAGCCTGTTCTTGAACAATCTTGCTTCTCTCCTGCCACGAAGTATATCCATACACACTGATACTTTCCGTATCCAGAGCCAGATGGATCACATATGGGCAGGCATGAGCCCGGGCCACCCTTCTGAGTGACCCTCAGGAGACTGCTTTTCTTCCTCGCTGAGGAGCAAGGGCCCAGCTCTCCCCGGGTGACTCCTGTGGCTGGTGATGACTCCTGCTCCTGCGTGGTGACTCCGGTGGCATCACCATACCCCCCACCCCACAGGGTTCCGTGAGGGGGAGGGAGCTGGCTCTACCTGAAAGGGCTTCTCTCCAGTATGAACCAGCTGGTGTCGCTTTAGTTTTGAGCTCTCAACAAAAGCTTTGCCACATTCTGCACAGACGTGGACTCGGGGGCCGTGGGTGTGCAGATGTTTTCTCATGGCAGAGTTATCCCTGAACATCTTTGTGCAGCCCTTAAAACACAGAAAGAAGCTTAGTGGTTTGTGCTGCAAACTTGAGAAAGGATCCAACCACTTAACAGCCTTTACTGACATATTAAAACAAAACAACCTCCCCACCCCCCATCTTAGTGTTACTTAGTATTCCAGTGGAACATTAAATTATCTAAGACAAAAAACAGCTCAACAAATTCTCATCACTTAACGCAAACCCTGTTTTACAGATGAGGAAACTGAGGCTTAGAGACATCAATGAGTAGACTTGCCCAAGATCACACTACTAAGTAGTGGCCACACGGGAATCGAGCCCACCCCCTGGCTTCCAGCTACCCACAGCCGCCCCCAACTGTGTCCCAAAACGAAGCAACAGAAGCACTCATAAACAAACGGAGTTAAAATGGCGGCAGTCCACCACTACCTTGGGTGGGCCCCATATTCTGTGCTGCAACAATGGGCTGTCATTCTCCACCGCCTACTGTTCCCTCTTCTCTCTTTGCCTCTTTCCCCTTCTTGACAGAGAAAGAAGCAAGAGGGTCTCCAAGGGATGGCAACTACAGAAGAGATTTATTTGTGAGACGCTGGGGAAAGGAAGAGGTGGCGGTGACACCGGTGCGGGCGGATGGGAAGCATGTCCTCAACAATGTCTTCTGCAGCTGTTGCCCAGTAATGCAGGGAATGGGGGAAATGAGAGGACGGCACGACAGAAGGACAGCGCGAGTCACCAGACAGCTCACAGGCAGGAGGGGGAGGAAGCCAGTTTTTTGCCTTCACATCTAGGCTGCGCTTCCGTTTAGAAGATGGAATTTTTAAAAATGTGTCATCCAAGATATACATGCACTGAAACGGCACACCGTACCCGGTCAAGATGTACAGTTATCACGTGTCAATTTTAAGTAAGAGAAAACTTCTAAAGTCCAACTGGCAAGAAGTACACAGAGAATGCAAGGAGATGGCAGGTGACTGAGGCATCACTGTTTTCAAATGCTTATTCTTGGCCCCGGTGGAGACCATCTTCCATGTCAACATCTCCATGTTAAGAGCACGAAACAAAATTTATCCTTCTCCAACTGTTGATTTTTAAAAAATATTTATCCCATTTACAATCTCTCCTCCTTTATTTCTCTGTACCTATGTAACGCTTTTTCTTTAGTTTTATATCCCATTAAGTTTGTAAACAGATCCCAAATACCTCCAAATATTTAAAAAACTAATTACATTTGAAAACAATTCAGCACCCCTCTAGTAACACACAATTAATGGGCTCAATAAGAAAACTGTGAGGAAATTAGGAAGTCTTCATGTGGCTTGTATTCGCAACATCCAAAATAGTTTCCATGTTTCAGTAACAAGCGTACATTCCCACAAAGGTCCGTGGGTGAGACACCACCCAGTATCTTGAGATGGACTTGTTAATGACCCCAGGGGAAATTAAGCACTAACATAGTCAACATACAGAAATAATAAAACACTGGCTCCCAACAGTAATTCCATTTAATAGTCTTTAAATAGTAACGACCTCTACTGAACAGTAAAACTCACTCTCTTGAACTTAGAAACCAAAGATTCTAGGTCTCTCACTGTGAGACCCGCTTCCCACAAGCTCCCTGAAATCTCACAAGTGTATAATGACCCCTCCCCAGTACTTACTTTATGAGGGCAAGCTATTGTTCTTGGAGCATCGTCTTCTTTAATTTTTCTTGGCTTCATTCTTATCAAAAGAAAAAAAGAGAGACAGACAGATTTGTAGGAGTGGGTAGACTCACTAGCCTAAATCATAGAGCCCTTTCAAATGCTTGCCTTACTGGTGCCAAAACTAAGATTCGACTACATTTCCACAAAGGAGAAAGGACAAGGTGATGAACATCCCTGAGCACCAAAGGCCATGGAGTGCTCTTTCCATTGTATAGATCCAAAGGGTGTCGACACACAGAAAGGCTGAGCTGCTACCTGCAGTCTTATATAGCTAAGGAGCTGGTGGAGCTCAGAATGGCACCACCATGTGTGCAATTCAAATACCTGCTCTTTCCTCCAACCTGTTTAAAGATCAGCAACCCAGACAAATCTCCTAGCAGGAGGCAGGGTAGGGCATCCAAAAGCAGCTGCTGTGATGCCAAAGGTGCCTTTAAAGAGAGCAACAGACATGGGAGTGCCTTGAAAATATACAACTTAGATGGGGTGTGGTGGCTCAAACCTGTAATCCCAACATTTTGGGAGGTGGAGGTGGGAAGATCTCTTGATGCCAGGAGTTCAAGGCCAGCCTGGGAAACACAGTGAGACCTCATTTCTACAAAACCTAAAAAACTTAGTCAAGTATGGTGGCATATGCCTGTAATCAACAGAGTAAGACTCTGATTCTCTCTCTCAAATGGCTTTTTAAAAAACCCCACAAAATGGGTTCAATTCTTACTGATACAAGCAATTTTTAAGATATATCATTTTTGGCTGAGTACAGTGGCTCATGCCTGTAATCTCAGCACTTTGAAAAGCTGAGGTAGGAGGATCGCTTTAGCTTAGGAGTTCAAGACAAGCATGGGAAAGATAGCAGACCACCCCCATCTCTAAAAGCAAAAAAAAAAAGACATGTCTTTTTTTTTTTTTTAAAGTACAGAATTACTTACATACATATAAATATCTCTTGAAGAAAACAACACCAGTTACATCAGAAAAGAGCCCCTGGGGGTGTGGGCAGCTGGGAACACCACATACTTGCATACTGTTTGATTTTTATCCCAGTATTCCTTTTGGTGGTGGGGAGGGGAGAGGCCGTAGTTTTTCAAAAAAATGGGCCAGGCACAGTGGCTCACGCCTGTAATCCCAGTACTTCGGGAGGCTGAGGCAGGAGGACACTGGTTTGAGCCCAGGAGTTTGAGACAAGCCTCAACAACATAGTGAGGCCTTGTCTCTACAAAAAACATTAAAAAAAAAAAAGTAGCCAGGTGTGGAGGCACGCATCTATAGTCCCAAATACTCGAGAGGCTGAGGCAGAAGGATCACCTGAGTCCAGGAGGTCCAGGCTATGGGAAGCTGTGATCATGTCACTGTGTTCTAACCTGGGCAGAGCAGTCTGGTCTTTTGTCAGAACTTTCTCCCCAAATATTTCCTACACATCTGTGTGTGGCAGATTGGTAAGAAATTGAGAGTACTAGAAAAACTAAAAAAAGAAATTTAAATGTCTGAAACAGATTTTCTTTCAGTCCCTAGTTCTGCCAATCTCACATCCCTCCATTGAGGGCTCATTTTTAATCAACAACTAAGTCAATGAGTCCTTACCAGCAAGAGCTAATTTACCACCATCCTTTTATTAAAGTAAATTTTTTAAAAAAGATTACTTCTGTCATCTTTACATTAAGACCCTAATAGTGTCTCTCTTTGCTTGTGATCAGGAAAAGGATTGCTTGATCCTTATGGAAATTCTGAACTCATGAAGTCATCTGGTTAAACCTCCAAGCCCCGGAGGGGTGCAGGAGGAAAGCGATCTGGTAGCCAGCCCTTATCCCCTGAAGTCTGTTCAAGATTGTCTTACCTCCTGCTTTAAGTTTACGAGAACATTTTCAAGTCTGGTATTCTCTCCTAGCCCAACCCTGCAGATACTCATTCTTTCTTGAAAATGGATAAGACCATGCAACCATAATTCAAAAATCTGAAATGCAAAATGCTCCAAAACCTAAAACTATTTGAGCACTGACATGATGCTGTAACTGGAAAATTCCACACCTGACTTCATGTGATAGATGGGTCAGTCAAAATGCAGTCAAAACTGTTTCATATATAAACTTACGTAAGACAGTGTACAGAATTGCCTTCAGCCTACATGTGTAAGGTGTATATAAGACAAACGAATCTCGTGTTTACATTTGCATCCTATTTCCAAGACATTTAATTATGTATATGCAAAAATCCAAAATCCCAAACCGTGCTGCTTCCAAGCATTTCAGATAAGGGAAATTCAACCTGTATTACTATGTCAGTCAGCAAATATTTCTGAAGTGACTGTTGCGGACAGGGTCCTGAACCAGCCTTTGTTATCTTAAATACCAATCAATCCTGGAATTTTGGACTAGGTTCACAAAACCAGGTAGGACAAAATGTAGTAGTACTGCGCCACCTGGAGGTTAGATTGGTTTCAAAAGCAAGTGATTCATATGAGAGGTTCCTGTTCCACTCAAGTATTAATATGTAAAAAAAATTTTTTTTAAATAGAGACATGCTCTCACTATGTTGCCCAGACTGGTCTCAAGCTCCTGGGCTCAAGTGATCTTCCTGCCTTGGCTACCTGCAGTGCTCGGATTATAGGTGTGAATCAGAGTCTAGTCTAAATATTAATTTTTTAAAGTATAAAAACCAAGTTTCAGTCTTCCCAATTAAGAATTTGACAATTTCTTAGGCCGAGTGCAGTGGCTCACACCTATAATCCCAGCACTTTGGGAGGCCGAGGTGAGAGAACTGCCTGAGCCCACAAGTTCAAGACCAGTCTGGGCAACTTGGTGAGACCTTGTCTCTACAATAAGTCCAAAAATAAGCCAGGCATGGTGGCGCACCCCTGTAGTTACAGCTACTTGGAAGGCTGAAGCAAAAGGATCACCTAAGCCCAGCAGGTCGAGGCTGCAGTGGCTGAGCATGCCACTGCACTCCAGCTTGGGTGAAAATGAGACTCCAACTGAAGGGAAAAAAAAGAACAGTTTCATGTGCCATATACCCAACTCTTGTTTTTGTTTTTTTTTTTAGTTGGAGTCTCACTCTCGCCCAGGCTGGAGTACAGTGGCATGCTCATAGCCACCTGCTAGGCTCAGGTGATCCTTCTGCCTCAGCCTTCCAAGTAGCTGGAACTACAGGCACGCACCACCACACCTGGCTAATTTTTTTGATTTACTGTAGAAATGAGGTCTTGCCAAGTTGCCCGGGCTAGTCTCGAACCCATGGGCTCAAGCAATCCTCTCACCTCAGCCTCCCAAAGTGATGGAATTATAGGCATGAGTTACCACGCCCGGCCCGTTTTTGTTTTTGTTGTTGTTTCCTTAATGTTTATTTTTTGTAGAGATGAGATCCTTTTACCTCAGCCTCTCAAAGTGCTGGGGTTACAGGTGTGAACTACCACACCTAGCCAACTCTTGGTTTCTTTAATATTATAAGTGGTTATTTTTTTTCTTAAAGTATCATCTTCAAAATGTGTGCTAGTATTTAGAAACAGATCTAATTCTAGAAGAGTCTGAAGTGCATACGGACAAACAATCCTTGGACTTCAGGAATGAGTGGGAGATTCCAATGCAGCCACCCTTCAACTCCTCAGCAAATCATCCATCTTTAACAGAGTGTCGATGTGGCAGGATATATCTTTTACATTTTATTTGAATACAAACAATGGAAAGATCACTTCCCCTAAAAAAACACACTTAGGATGAGTGTTTTTTCTGTGAGTAAAGACTAAAAGGCATATACTACGACTTAAGAGTATCTTTTTGACCCTCCCACACAAACTACTCAGAATTAAGATTTGAGCTTTCCACTCACTGACCATACTACTTTACAAAGATCTTGCAAACTGAGAGACAGCGATGACAATAGCAGACATTGTGCATGAGATGGCAATGAGATGTATGACTTGGAGCTGACTTCTACTAGCTGCATGACCTTGAGCAAACTATTTAACTTCTCAGCCTCGGTTTCTTATTCTGTAAAAAGGTATAGTGCTACCTACTTTAGAACTATGAGAATTAAGAGATGATCTATGTTAAGCACTTGGAAAATGACAGCTATTACTAGTACCTGTTGGCTATGTGTGAAACGGGGTCTGGCTAAAAAGGACTTCGTTCTTTAAAATATTACGCTAGTTGTGTTCAACAACCCAGAAGGTTCTGGTGCTCCAAGCCACCCTTCTGACTAAAGGACTGGAGAAAGAACGGGAAAGCACCCCTCAAAGTAATACCTGGTATGCGGAGGTGCCAGGTGGCCAAAAACATAAGTTCCCTACTCAAATAAAGATGGAGAACATTCTCCCAGCATCAGAAAGAACTGCTGGATCTCTAACAGCTCATTCTGGCATATGTGGAGGAACAACGCTGTAAAGACTGGACCCCAGAACCCACACTTGCAGGAACTTCCTGCACAATTTCAGCAGAGCACTGTGTGCACTGCAAGTTCTGACTAACAGATCTGCACACGTCCCAGAAGCAGAGATGAAACATTTCTGGTGCAGTGACTATCTAATGAAATAGCCTCTTCATTGCAAAACAAGCTTAGTGGACTTCGAGACCAGAGCCACCAATTCTAACCTGTGCTGGTGGGACAGAAGTCCCTATGCCACAAAGCTACCATCTGCAAGCATGGATCACCTCCCTTTTGAGGGACAAGATGATGCTGCCTTAGACCAATGAAGCAAGGTTGTTTAATGAATTATCTCTTAAATAAACAGTACACATTCATGTGATGACACTGAAGATTTCTGAGGTATTTTCATTTCCGTTATCACATTTAATCTTTACATTAATCCTGCCTTAGTGTGGGTAGTGAAAAATAACCAACTAGGGATGGGCATAATCACTCGTTAATCTTTCTAGACCAAAAGTGTTCCAAAGCCTAACTATAGTTATTAAAATACGCACAAAGATTGTCAATTTAATCAGGAAACAGAGCCCGCCAGGTCCTCACTGATCGCTTTTTGAAGTATTTACATTACAGGGAAACAGCCAGTCATATCCCACCTCCCCAAAG